ATTCCTGCACAAAATAACTCTCTCTCTTTTCGATTATTTATTGACTATATTTTGTTTTCTTTACTACACAATTTTCTATGGAGGTAAGTACAATCATAAAATTATTTATTAAAAGGTACTTTATTAGAAGGAGCTGGTAATCTATATTTGGCTAATTCTACTTCTGCTTCTCCAAAGGTGTCTATGTGATAACAAAAATACTCTGGATTTTTATATTCTTTATCTTTAGCAGCACAAGGTCCTACAGCTGAAAGGTAAAATTTAAAAACAATGTAATATAAATAAAAATATTGATGATACAACAGATTTTGAAGTAAATAAAATAAAGTTGATTTGTTATGCAAAGAAATGCTTAAGATCCATGTTGTTGCACATAATGAGTACTACAAATTTTTCAAGTATTGGAGCCTTTCTTTCTAAACATTTTGTATATATTTAAGAAGCAATTAAACATACTGAATCTTAAATGACTTCAAATTTTAAAAACATTTCTTGTATTTTGCATTTTACATTATATTTTAGAAGACTAAAATTCATAATCTTGGTACATATTTTTCTTCTGAATTTTTTGTTTAAAAATTGTTCACTTGCAGATAAAACCCTTATATTTTGAAAATATAAAAATCATGTCTATTGTAGCTATTGTTAACAAAAATTTTTAATGTTTTTATGATTTTTCAAATACTTCATATATATTATTTAAAAGAATAAGGTAATTTCAATTATACAAATTTTTTTATCTAATACTAAAAAGGAAAATAATAATTAAATAGTAAATATATTTGTCTTACGACTATTTGGAATTTTACAGCACTTCTCACTAAGTCCTGTAACATTTACGTTTGTCTTTGGTATATTACTCTTTGCCTTTGTACTTAAGTATCGTAATAACACTAAATTCTGGTTCTGAAATAATTAATAATGTTTAATATTAATGATTTCTTGAAATGTAAAAATATTTTTTCAACAATACTTTTTGCTTTTTGAATAATTTTAACGTATACCTGTTTTAATAAATCGCTCCAAATTAAACGTAACATTTTTTTTTCTAATAATATCGCCAATTTCTCTATATTTTGTAAGAAACAAAAATCTCTGATATTTATATAATAATATTAGGAAACTAAATTGTGATTGTGACCAAGTTCAATATTGTTAGTGATACGCCATATTTATTTAGAAAATTAACTAAAATACATTTGATTTTAAAAAGACTTTATTGTATTGTAAACGTAATTGTAATTTTAATAAAAAATATTTCAATTGTTGCTATCTTAAGTCAATCTCACTTAATATGTGTTAAATAATAATTTTTTTTAACTAGGTGACATTGTCAGTACACTGAGTACAGTTACTGTACTGATATATCTAGTAACTAATTTTTGTTGTGTAGCTACTTCATGGAGAAAATAATACAGAGGTCTTACCCTTTAATATCTTTTTAATATGTTTAAGAATTTTTCAGAATTAAACATAATTGATTAAACAATAGAGTTGTAAATCTATTACAAAAAATTTTTTCATATTACGTAATTTAGGGATACTTTAACCTATCAAAGATAATACTATAATACAATAACATAGACAGGTAATACATTTTTTCATTAATCAATACATTTCAATTAGATTACTATTGTTATTTTTATAATTTTAAGAAATTTTCACTTGCAATGTTTAAAAATATTTATACACATTTGTTTATCAAAAATAATGACCTGCTTCAGTGATTGATTCAAAAATTCATTAATTTAAAATGTATTAGTAATAAAATTGAACAGTTGTTCTTAAACTTGTTTCTATAATCCTTTTAAAATGATTTTATTAACATAAATTAAAATAATTATTTCAGATATGTATTCTTCCAACTTTGTGGCAAACGAAAATGAAAATTCAGTTGTTTCATACATGAAAAAAATGAAACTACCTTTATTTGCGGGCATGGGTTTGGGAATTTACTTGCAAAGTCAAAAGCCTATAGGAATTCAAACGTACGTTACATTTAAAACAATAGCATATACTACACTTCCAATCTGTGGCTTTGGTTTTTTCTATCTTACTGGTACTTATATAGCAAGTAAAGTAAGAAACCAAGATTCGCCAGTTAATTATGCAATAGGAGGTAAACAAAACTTTCTTTTATAATCTATTGTTATCAAGTGAAATTATCTTTGGTAATTTTATTCTATTTTTAATATTAATTTAAAATGATATAAAAAATTATTTTGTAGCATTATGTACTACTCCATTGGTAAGGACGTTTCTTCCTTTGCTTCCTACTGTGCAGTTTGTTGGTGCTCTAGCTTTTCTTTCATTGGCAGTAGCATATGAATATAGTACTGAGTGGCATCCATTTCCAAATGATGGACAGGGTCTTGATTTCTATTTATGGTCAAAACAAAAGCCACCGTCAGAACCTTATATTAAACGTAAATCAGACACTTTATTTACACTTAAATTGGTTCCCGATGAGTAAAGACTATGCATATATATATATATATATTGTAGCATTAATAATAAAAATATAACATATAATTATGTTTATTGTACATTTATTTATATAGAATTCTAATAAATATAAAAATCTTACAAATTAAATTACAAACTTTATTGATAATTAATTTAAGTTAATGTTTCTCCCTTTGTAACCTGAAAAATAATAATTATATAAAATATAATATACATTATATATTTTTTATAATATGCAAAGTAAAGGTAATTCCAATTATAAATCATAACTTACACATGCTTCCAGATATTCGATTCTTCTTTCTAATATTGTAAGTTTTTCATTGAGGACAGCTATTCTTGATCTGCAAGACATGTCTAACAGAATAAAATAAATTATAATAATGTTAGTTTTATTTAAAGCATTATTGTCAGTTCAGCGATCCATGGAAATAATGAAGAAGAAAGCAGAAAGTTATAAAAATTTATATGAATCATAATTATCAAAAAATACATACTTTATGTTAGGAAATAATTAGTTATGAATACATCTAAATGCAAGTTGACCAATGGCGTTTTGTTTAAAAGTACAAAAGATTATTTCTTTTATCATATATACAATGGGTTTTTTAAATTATTTGAGTATGTATTTTTATAAAATCAAGTTTAACAAATTAACAACGTTTTTAGATTTTATGTTTTACAATTTTACTCATAAATGTTATATTATAATGATGCAGATTTTTTCATTCATTTTAGAACTTTATTAGTTCATCATAGAAGTTTTTTCATTCATTTGATCTTTTGAGTGTAATTCACTGATTTTTTTCTATCATTAGTATGTAAAGTCATTTCTAAAATCCTATTTATTTTTATGATGGTACTATATTTTTTGATTTTAAGATTAAATTTAAATAAAAAATGAAAATGGTTTAATCATGGTTTAATCGTGAATTAACTATTATGCAGTAACTATTTAAATATATTATAAGAGAAATGCGAGATATCGTTTATTTTGCAAAATATTTTTTAAATATTCCAAAATAAAATACATTATCAAATATAAAAATGTTAAATAATTACCAAAGGAATTGAGAAAATCGGTAATCTTTTTGATGCTACCGGTTATAACTTCGATATATTCTCGATTTGCCCAATCCTGTTGAATTTGTTTTTGGATAGCTTCTCGATGTACGGCAGCCATCTTTGAAGTTTTGTGATATTTGATCAAATTAATGTTACATATATTGCACATTAACCATAAGTTCTTTAGTGCATTTTTTAAAAAATATTTTTTATATAAACTCTTTAGATACACTTACGTGTTAACACAGAATCATCACTTTTTACTAATATAGAATATTTGGAATAAGAATAAACAATGAACTAATATGATGTATAATATATATAACATTCCTAAATAATACATGTAAACACGTCTTTTAATAAATTCATTTATTTAAACTACGTAGATTGCATTGATATATTATTCACATAAATTACATTTATGTACATATATTTTCTATAAAGGAAAGTTTATTTACGTTTCGGTAAAATTCCTTATTAAAAGTTACAAAATTTAATTACTAAGTTATATTATGTATAGTTAAATATTTTTGAATTCAATGCAATTTAAAATCGCAACATATCATTGTAAATCATAGATATGTAATTTTCATTCATGTTCTGTATCATTTTTCTTTCTTTTATTTATTTGAAATTTTGTATTATTTGTGTGTAATAATTAAAAATTTAGTTTAAGATATATATATATATATATATATATAATGAGTATATTAAAAATGAACCGTTAATTATTTTTAGGTGCATCTTTAAAGTGTTTAATAAACTTCTAAGATGTATTTAGGAGCATCTTTAAAGTTTAATAAATTTTGACAAAAAAATATTTCCCGTACATTGTATTATTTCATATTGCGTTTTTTTTTTCTTATTATTTGATAATATTTAAGTTTATATAATTTATTTGTAGCAAAAAAATATAATGTATTTTATACAAATAGAAATTCGCCATTTTTCATATTTGTATGCACTATGGTGACGAATTTCGCAGTAATGTGTATTTGATACATGTTGAATACAATCCGTGTAAATACATATTTTTATGGTCTAAATTGAGCAAGCTATTTTTAATTATAATTGCATAAATTAAAATTAATTATTAATTAATTTCGAGTGATCTGTTAACAAAATAATTAAAATTTTTGTGAAAACTAATTTTGTTGACGAAAATGTACATATTTTTAATACATGTATAAACATATAAGAAAATATTGCTGTAAAATTTCTACTATTTGAAAATAAAATTTAAAAGTTTATAGTATATATTAAATACATAAAAGATAGAAACAACAATATATGGTTTAAGTTGAACGATTTCTATAACTTAATGAAAGAAATAATATTGATAGATTGACAACTAGATTTTATAAACACACAATGTCGAAAACAAAGCTTAATATTTTACTATAGATTTTATATATAAAAATTTACAGAATCTTTGTATTGTCTATTTTCAGAATTTTTGTTTTTATTATATATATATTTTGAGGAGTGTAACAAGAGGAGTGTTATGACTTTGGCAAGATATTGCTTTTTGTCAATAGTTTATTGTACATCTTCATTGTCTAAAAAGCTGTGGATTCAGAATCTTGGGATAAGATCATATATATCTCAAAGTACTTTTGCATCACTAACTGTACCTCAACTAAACAGGTAGAATATTAAAACATAAATTTATGTAATATTTGTAAAACTTTTCATTTAATACAAGTATATTAAAGAGATGTCAATGAAAATGAGTGCTGCTTTGTTGTTTAATTTATATGACACATGTTTACATTCCTTTGTTTATCTTTTGTCTTAAATGTTATTTTTATGTATTATAAAAGTAATCAGATATATTAAGAAATAAATAAACAATTTTATAGGATAAATCAGAGATCAGTTATATTTTCATTATTTGCAAATATGGCATCAACTAGTAATGATGAAAATATAAGAATGCAGGAGAAAAATCGTTTGAGTTTGGAAAAATCACCATATTTACTACAACATGCTACTAATCCAGTTGATTGGTATCCATGGTGTGAGAAAGCTTTAGAAAAAGCAAAGATAGAAAACAAATGTATTTTTTTATCTGTTGGTTATTCTACATGTCACTGGTGTCACGTTATGGAAAAAGAATCTTTCACAAATAAAGAAATATCTGAGATAATGAATAAGAATTTTATTAATATAAAAGTAGACAAGGAAGAGAGACCAGATATCGATAGGATATACATGACTTTTATACAAGCAAGTAATTGTGATTATATTATATTATATTTTAAGTAAATGTAATGTAGGTTAAAAACTATCATTTGTCATAGGCAACAAGTGGTCATGGTGGATGGCCAATGAGTGTTTTTCTTACTCCTGATTTAAAACCTATCGTTGGAGGGACTTATTTTCCCCCTGAAGACACATCTAGACAAACAGGATTTAAGACACTTTTACTCAATGTCGCTCATAAGGTACAAAATCTTAGATTTCAAGCATCATTATAGATATGGTGTAATGATAAAAACAATTCATATTTGATTCATTTAAGTAAATCTAT